ACTTTTGGTCAGAAGAGGAAGAAGAAGAAGGAAGAAAAAAAAAACAGAACAAAAAGAATGACTCACTTCACTGATTCCACTAGTGGCCTTTACTTCCTGTAAGGCTGTTAATAATGAAGTCATGGCATAAGGTTAATGAAAAGCAGACAATCCATGGTCATTCCTTTTCCCAACAGATTGCCCAGGACTCAATAGACTGCCAGCATCCAACAAACAGCACAAAACTACCGGTAGACTCAAAGAAGTACCTGTGTTTGGTAAATTAGTATATTCAAACCTCCATGTAAACCATGATGAAGCTTGCTTGCCTGCTGGAGACGAGTCTAGTTTATCGAGGTCAACTCCAACACCGGTACATCAAGAAACCGGTGGAATTCTTGAAAGTCAAGATGTGAGCAGAGGAACAGTCGACAGCACGAGGAAACATTCAGGAAGATACTGACTGATTTGAGGAAATGACATTGGGACCGGTTCATCTTGTGGCGCTCTGCCGAAAGCCGCAGCAGCATTTCACCCTGGTGTCGCTGAAGCGGCAAAGAGCCAGAGTTTAAGTTGGTGGTAACTCGCAGATGAAGTGTTCATGTGAAACACAGCCAACATGAATTCTCATAGCGGTACGTGTACGAGTGTTTATTCATGTTGAAGAAGTAATACTCATTTCTGTGTGAAGTTTGAATACTCTGTATTTCTGCACAAAGGTGACCGGCTCTGGAAAAATGGGTAATAAGTCGCCAGATTCAGGCTACAAGTTTTTGATGTGGCTGGATTCTGTACTTCAAAAGCTAGAATTTGGTACATGAATGACCCCTGTAGCATGTTGCGTTCCGCAGATGCATATACCGGTACATGTACATGGACATCTGTTTATCCACATTTTCAGATGTAATAAATTAAACTTTTCAAGAAAAAGCTCAAAGTGTAGCGATTGGAAGCACAATTCTATATAGGATTTCCTACTGATTGATGAATTTTTCATCTTTTTTCATCAGAATCCATGTTTCTAATCACGAATTCTAAAAATATAAATATTATAGAAGCACTAAATGAAAAAAACACAAAGATCATGTTTTTGAACAAATTTTGCCCTCTCCAAATGGATTAGGCCATAACGTTTTGGCTTTGCTCAACTTATTACCCATTTTTTCAGAGCAGGTCACAAATCTAAAATTGCATTGGTTACTTTTACTTGTGTCTGTTGAAATCTTATGTTTACGGATATTTCAGAGTATGAAGGACACTGTAATAGATATTTGCATGTACATGATGTATGTAGCTTTCTTCAGCATTTGGAAAATATCTGGTATAGAACAACTACTTGTAGTGAGAAGCGTACATTTGGGATTTCATTTGATTTTCTGATAACTACTCTGCATTGTGATGTGCAGTTATCTGCGCTAACCTTACATACTTAGTGTGGACTTGAGAACAAAAGATGCCCACACGATGCAGGAAAGGAAGACGTTCTGTGGACTTACATATGTCCACAAGACGTTTCCCCTTCTCTAAAAAAGTTTAGAGGCATTTTGGGGTGGGGTCATCTATCATAAATGGAAGAGGAAAAGTAAAGGAAACTTTGTACAAAAAGCCAGCTGAAAATTGTGTTCCCAGTCCAAGAAAAACAAGTATTTTCACTGAGTTTTCTTAACTGCACGAAAAGAAAGGAATGTCCACACTAGGTATGTAAGATAAGTGTGCCTGTGTGTGTGTTCGTTTGTTTTTGTTCACAGAGGCAGGCTATTCTGCTAGTCAAGGGAAGGTGGCAAAAGTTTGATTCTGAGAAGACAGAGCAATACTGCGGAGGATTATCAAAGAAACTTGACGTGAAAAACAAACCCAGAGACCAGGAAAAGTGTCAACACTTGGAGCCCCATCCTCTCTTCAACTGTGTAGGTTATAAAAAATACAAATGCATCACTTGAAGATCTCACCAGAAAAACCAAGGGGTGTTAAAGTTTGGCCTCTGGAAAACTGTGTAGATTTAGGTTCAGACGAACTATTCTGCTTCTGTGATGTACAGTCATGACAGTTGTCTCTGTGGGGGTTTTTTTGTTCACAGAAGCAACAGTCAAGGGAAGGTAGCAAAAGTTTGACTCTGAGAAGACGGGGCGATACTGTGGAGGATTATCAAAGAAACTTGACGTGAAAAACAAACCCAGAGACCAGGAAAAATGTCAACACTTGGAGCCCCATCCTCTCTTCAACTGTGTAGGTTATAAAAATACAAATGCATCACTTGAAGATCTCACTAGAAAAACCAAGGGGTGTTAAAGTTTGGCCTCTGGAAAACTGGGCAGATGTAGGTGAAAAATGACTTGATGTCTTGTCAATCTCGATAATTCCACTAACAAATTGGCATGATGTGCCACTTTGCATTCAAAGCAGAATCATCAGCACTAGCTGGATCTAAATACCCACACACAAAAATCACAACTGCATCATCTTTCAAATCGCCATCTTCCAACAGGAGGAGAAAGAAGTTAAATAGCAGAGCATGGACTGAAAAAAATGAGATGTAGATGACACTGCCACACAGTGTCGGAGTCAAGACCCCTTGAGACCATCACAAGACTTTAAAGAATGCTGCACTGCACTGACGTGTTAAACTGAACATTAATGTACCTGTACATGAAAACCATACTTATAAAATCGTACAGAGAGATAAGGTACCATTACCTGTGCTTGTACTTTTGAAGTACAACTCATCAATATCTTAAAGTACATGTAAATAAATCGTAAGAACAAGCCTGGGACATTAATATTAACCCTTGCTCTTGTTTTCACTCCAATAGTCCTGTTAAAAAAAGTGGCTATGTTTATTACATGGCCCTCCACTAACGGCCCGACCACTTCAATGGAGAAACTGTGTACACTTCAAGAAACACTGCAAAGAAAACTGGAGGTCAGCTTGGTCCAGCTAGTGTATTACACTGACAAGCAAAGCCACATGCCACAATCCTCTTGAGTACACTGGAGTGTACTTCTGTTGGGCTGTGCAGTAAAATCACTCTACTGGTAATGCAAAGAATCCTCCAATGCACGCCAGCTGCAGTGCCTTGGCAGGTGCTACTGACTTGCAGTAAATTGCTCTCGTAGAGCAAGGGTTAAGGTACTGTATGTGATTCCGAGAAATACATGATAGCTAAGGTGAATGTACTATGCAAAAGATACGTGTAGATTAAATATTAAACATGCCACAATGCTGATATGATCATATTAGACTGACACCTGTCCACATCAGCAACCGATGGACATGTACTGTGATATATTCAAATCACTTCACATTCCGTTATTGACCTTGCTGTTTTGTGCGCTACTGGCCAACACAAAATGCCAGCCACGTCTTTGCAATAGACCGATCCAGCAAGTGCCGCCGACTGCACACCCAGGCACTTAGCCGTTGCTCTTCTCCAGCGCCATGCTACAGGTTCCTGCTGTGTGCATCATACACGCGTGCACACTATGTCAGACATGAATCGCGGCTGTGATTGATCAGAAAGCAATGGGCGGCGCTTGAAGGATCGGTCTGTTAGTTTTGACGAAGGCTAACGTGTCATCACCCAGCTCCTCAACAAATCCAATGGTTGCAACTTACTCTTGAAGGCATGAGTGAATCTGAATAGGCTATTAGCTAGAGTGGAACTCAATAGGTAATTATTGTGCAAGTGTCATCAGCCATTTGTGGCAAAATTTGCACCACTGAGCTCATACTTGATGTTTGCCTCATCTTCTGGTCCTCCGAGGCGTTTCCAGACTCAGTGTGCTCAAGTAAGACACTGTGAGCTTGCTATGCAAGGATTTCTTCATGTAGCATTCCACTTTGTGCTTCACATGCATAAACTATTCTTCAGAGTTAACAGAACACTACTCGAGACAAACAAGATAAGAAAAGTGGTAGATCAAACCTCCACAATGAAGACTTTGTGACCATGAAGGCTCAAAGGCCAAAGTCTTAAGCTTCTGTAATGGAGGAGGCTACATGTGTGTATTTCACCAGACTGGTTTAGCTACAAGCCACATCCCCACTCATACTTGGCTTTCTATTGCACCATGTTGAAAGAACGGTAGCCGCACTGAGAAGGTGATATCACATCAAGGTACAGAAAAGCATTCTAACAAATACTGCTTGCATAACAGTCAACTGCTGGCCTGTGTTATACCAAGAAAGTTTACTTGCCATATGTAAGTTACGTGAAAAAAATATATGCATTTCCGCTGTTGCCAGATTATAGATTAAGATTATAAAATACTCTTTTCAAGGTTGAGGTCATATTTCAGCTGTGCATGAAAGCTGCTGTTGTGAAGTGAATTCAAGACCGTCAGATGATAAAATAACTTTAATGATGACACAGAACGTCATTAGTGGAAGAAGATCTCGGCATGACTTTGTAAGTACATGTATCTGCGCAACAGAAATTGTTGGCAACTGTTCAAATATTGTGGCCATACCAGCAACACACACAAAAAATGTTCCAACTTTCACATCAAAGTAATAATGTGATTGCGGCTAAATTTATAGCAATGTGAAAAAAATGCAAGGTCAAAACAGGGTGTATTTCAACATAACTGCAGCTGCATTGAAGATTTTCACCAGGAGTTCAGTTTGGCATCTTTAAGGATGTTTCATCCCTTGTGCGTAGAGCAAGAAATTTGTTTTTCCCTCACTAGTGATAAGAGCCATTATTTTACTTCCGTTCATCCCAAGAAGGTTACAAATCATAGAGCATGGACCGTGACGGAGAAAGGAATCTGTCACTCTGCATTTTACATGTAACATGGCACGTGACCTGACTCGGCACTGGATGACCCATGCACAATGGACTTGATGGAACTATGATGGCTTGGGATACCGGGTATTTGCAAGGCTTGAATCAAAGATCATAGCGGCGCAAGATGGAGAACTTCACCATGAATACACGTAAAATGTTGTAACTGCATGGGCGCCATTTCAGCAAGCGATACGCCTGCGCAATGCACATTAAGGCACAGGCGCCGCAGCAGGCATGTACACCTGGTGAGCCTGCGCCCAAGCATTACCATAAACTGCGCAGGTGTATCTCTTGCTCAAATGGCCCTTGTGGTAATTACACCTTTTGGGCAGAGTTATCCATCTTGCGCCTTCGGCGCTATACGATCTTTGGCTTGAATAAACTCAACTTATGCATTTAATTTAATGTCAGGTGCATCCTGAAATCATTCCATTGTCACACTTCCTTTTCTTGGCTCTAAAACCTTTCAGCCGGAAATTTCACTGTAGCACCGATCACCATTGCTAGCTGTTGCCTTCTGCTTGGCAAGCACAGTAGGCCTACAGGTGACCCTTGACTCTTCTCTCTTTTCACAATCACAAACTGAACTGACATCTCTCAGAATACAATGATCAACTTCTAGCTATTGTACGACCAAAGAAAATACACAACAGCGGGATTTCCTATTGACATGTCACAATCTATGTATTAATTACTACTTTGGTAAGGAGCTTATACAGTTCTGACCCTATCACAGGGGCATGGAAATAATCCAGCTTGTACTGGTATTTTCCAATTACATGTACATGATACACAAAATGGACGCAGGGCACGCTAAGAGGCGTGGCTAACCTGTAACCGGCAACACAGGTACACTGTAGGTCAATTCTAGGCTCAATTAAATGGACATACTATGCAGAGAAGTTTGTAAATGTATGTGCTAAGTAAGAATCAGACTGACAGGCCGCACACGATTGCACTGCATTTTAACCGGTAACCCATTTTTGCTGGGCACACATTTCCTCTGCATAGCATATTTCTGAACGTCGAGTTGCTAAATCCCAAACCAGTTTTAGAAGTCAATGTTCCTTCAGCTCCAGTTCTTTCTCCTAGATGGAACTGAAAAGAACCGAAAGCTTTACACGTCAATTTTCTCTCTTTGATACAGAACCAAGAAATACTTCCCCCCTCCCCAAAAAAATTTATTTAACAGATTTCTGAGCCAAGCTCGGAAAACTCTTCGTCCTCTTCCTTGGCGTCAAAGCCATACAATACCTTCATGATGTGCTTGACACAGACCATGGAGGCTGCCTTGCTCTCCTTACCGACAGGGGAGAAGAGGAGGAATCCGTGGGGGAGTTTGTCGATGATCTCCAGTTGGACCGGGCAGCCTAGGGAACGCAGACGGCGGGCGAACATGATAGAGTCATCCAAGAGGGGATCAAAGGTGCAACCCTTAGAAAGAAATCAAAAGGCACTCGTCGTTACGGTTTATTTTAAATTTTTTTTGGTCAGTCATATTACTCATGGATGCCTGGGCTGTACAGTCTTCCACTGATGTTATGATGGAAGATTTCTGACAAGTACATGTACAGAGAGGTGACCCGGAAGACTGATGAAACCTGATGGGATATGAAACCTGAAGATATTTTTCATTTCACAAGAAGATAATGCTTTTCAAAGGGTGCACGGAAAACCCCTGGATCAGAAATGCTCAACTCACTGTTTCAATTGGGTCACCTGATGGGCTTTGAAACCTGAAGATAGTTTTTGTTTCGCAAGAAGATAATGCTTTTCAAAGGGTGTACGGAAAACCCCTGGATCAGAAATGCTAAACTCACTGTTTCAATTGGGTCACTCCCTGAGGTTGGGTCACAAATTGTGACGGTGTCCTCGTTACATCCAAAACTTTTACCACCTGTCATGACCCCTAGGGTAGGTCATTTACTCTGTAAAACTACTCTGTAAAACTAACACGCATCTCTTTATTTAGCCTTGCAAGATGTATAACAATGTCAATTTGGAATCCGCATGCAGGGAAATAACTGGTTTTTTTTTATGGAACCCACGTAACAATTGACACCACCACAAACTGTGCCCCAACCTCATGGAATGACCCAACTACATAACCAATAACATACAATATTTTGAACAGATCGGGGTGTACGTGTATGTGCAGTGACATGACAACAATGAGGTATTCTGTAAAGAAAACAGAGGGAAATTTGTGTGACATAAACTCCTTTATTATCTACAGCGGGTGGGACTGTGATTCCTTGTCTTACAACTTACAATGATGTGAACTTGAGGGAGACCCTTCAAGAGCTCGTCTGTGGCAAACAAAGGAGACATGTAAGAATTCTTCATGATTGGCACCTCGCGCAGTCGTCTGATTGGGGATGTCACATATGCCGATGGCGTTTCTGGCCCTCTCTTCACGACAGGCTCCTCCCCGAGGTCAAGGGTCAAACTTTCCCTCTTCAGAGTGGGTGTCATGTTGTTATTGTCTGGCAACACAGCGTTTGTCGTCGATTTCTGATCTCCAGTCATGCCATCTGAATCTTTTGGCTGGTGAATAACCTTTGACCTCTGGGACGGGGAACCCAGAGGAACGCTGGGATCGACAACAGCAATTGGCTCTGGTTCATCCAATGGCTCACCGTGGGGGACATTCCCGTTTGGCGTTACTGACTCGTGTTTCTCCATCTTGGAAATGGCCACACCTATGCCACTATCCGGCAACTTGAGCTCTCCCTCATCCACATCCGGGGACCATGCATCGGTCATTTCCAACGTCCTCAGGAAAGCATCCTCGTCTTCCTCGCTCCTAGACTGGGTGTTGCTGTCTGCGTCTGCGTCACTCGCCTTCGGCTTCTCATCGACATTCTGGGATTGGTGGGCGTCCTGGCTGCTGCACGAGTCCGTGCTCCGCACGCTGCTTCCCCGCGACGACTTGCCGGACGTGGCCACCTGGAACTTGTCATTGGCCTTCTGGACGATGGCGTTGGCCACCTCTTGGGATATGAACTCCTCCTCTAGACCGGCGTAGGCCGCGAGGCATCGGATCAGGATGCCAATGGGCAGCAGGGGGTCCAGCAGACTGAGCATACGGGATGGTGACGGCTGATAATGGACATTGAATGGCGTGTACAGCGCCACCACTCCGTCGGGAGCACGTATGCCGTACGAGGCTGCTCTCATTGCCACGGCGACGCTCAGATTACCACCTGCACTGTCTCCCGCCAGGCATATGTGCTCACCGGTGGATCCTAAAAGAAGCAGATACATTTTGATTAGTTAGGGGGCCCTAATGACCGTGACCAAACTTGGATGGCATGTGATTTGTGTGATTTGCAAGGACATCTGTGAACCGTCCACTATGAAAGAAATCAGTGACACATTCAAAGTACATAAATTTTTACAGGGGCACCAAGTACATGAATTATGTACAGCAACTGTGGCTGGGCTCTACCATTTTCAATCTTCCAAAATCTCCTTGACGGTGTTGGAGATCTCAGGTGTGTTGCTTTTTTATTCTCACTGCTTAACAATAACTTTGAGCTAGTTATCATTTGAATTCGGGGCTTCAGACCCATTAAGATCAATCAAAGGTGAATGAAAGAATAAGCTTGGCAACAATGAGTGCCAAGTTCTTTGCAGTTTTCTGTGGTTCTTATTAGTATGTAAAATCATAATGAAATCGGAGGATTTGGGAGAGTTAAAGGAATGTTTCGTTCTGAGTTTTCAATGCCTATTTCTTTAAAAAAAACCAGCTGTTATCTTGCCACATCTGGCAGGCACCTGAAAAGTGTGAAGTTCTCACAACATCATAAGGCCTTGACGCATCCTTTCACTCTTGAGTTTTACAGTAAATACTTATATTTCTCATTATTTGACATCTTGAAAACTTTCATCTTTACTTAAACTTGCCTAGAAACTGCGCGTTCTTCAAAGCCCAGGCATAGGCAAAGAAACACTCCTCAAACGCTCTGGGGAAGGGCTGCTCTGGGGCCAGTGAGTAGTCGATGGAAACAATGGGAACTCCTAGATCCCTTGCCCAGGACCTGAGGTAGATCTGAGGATTGACGGAATAAAATCAGAATTGTGATTATGATGGAGAACATTCTTCAGAACTACCAAAGTGCTAATGACAGGGTTCCTGCACCTGAGGGACAATTCAATTCCATAACTTTTCTATCACGTTTCCATGACCAAATTAAGAAAATCCATGACCCAATAACACAATTTCATGGACTATTCGGCAATTGAAGTTGCGAACACAATCACACATTTTATGCACTTACTTCTGAGAATAGACATCACACACAGTGTTTGAAAAATTCCATGACTTTTCCAGGACTTTAGTCATTTTTACAATATTCCATGACTTTTCCAGGCCTGGAAAAGGAAAACAAACTTCCATGACTTTTCCAGGCTGCAGAAACCCTGTAATTACTACTGGAAATTTCATCCTCTGGCTCAGACATTTACCCATATGATCAATTCAACTCTGGTTTGCAGGAGTTTGTGAGAAAAAAGAATCTCATGCTCGCCTGAGTGGGACTTGAACCAGTGGCCCCCTTTTCATGCCACATTAGCAAAATCTGTGAGACAGTTTAAGCATAGTGATTGGTACAGGTGCCTGTCAAATGGGTGGTATTAAAACACCAGTGAGAAGTGTTTGAAACCAGTCAGTAATGGCTACATTTGATCAGTGACTATCTGTTACCCACTGATGAATCTTAACTGTTGGTACTCTGCATACATTGCTGAATGGGCTGCCAAACAAGGCCGCTGATCAAACTTGGCCCAAAAATGGGATCCTTGTTATAAAACAGCCAAAACGGCCTGACAGCGATGGACCTCACTTTGTTTTGTTTTTCCACGTCCCAGTTTAGAACAGCTCCATCACACTTATTCCCCTATGATTTTCTGCGATATAGAACACAGATTGTAAGAATTTCGATATGGGTCCCTCAGTAGAAATTTGAGATTGAACATACAGCTCCAAACCAGCCCAAGTTCTGAAAACATCTTGCTCATGGCTACATGCACGGTGACCTCACACGCTTGACATGAATTCGCAAAATACACACACCTCGTGCGATTTGGATGTGTGGGCGACAAAGCCTCCTCCATGAATATGTATGAGCATGCCCTTTGATATGGGAGCTACTGACTTGGGAGGTATCTCCTCTTTTCCTTTGCTTTTTCCTTGTGGGGAGACATCATGCAACCAGCCCTGCAAATACGAAAAACCAGCATTATGAAAACTGAGCTAAACAGCGTCCACAACTATTCTACGGCAAAACTGATTACTGCCAAATCGATGCAGGGATGGAAGTGGGTTGTAACTCTTTTCCAAGAATACGTCAAGTGTGCCAGAAACATTTACACACATTCATTGTACCAATGTCTTTTTTAAATTTGTAAAGAGGGCCCGACATCGGCCACTGCAGGATGATTTCAACATCCCTACCAACATCTAGAGGCATTCACAACTAGAATGCTTTAGAGAATAAACAAGCAGGTATATTGATGGGATACTGAGTTTACAGTTACATGTAAAAGCAGTAGGACTACGCTAATGACCACTGACCAGTTCCTACTTTATGGGCGCAATAATAGGAAACTGGTCAGGCAGCAAATTTGCTAAACTTGCTAATTTAAACAATGACTCCATCCGCGGCAGATGTTTTGTGAAATGCATTTTAGTATGAGCTGTGCTCTTGTATGTTACTTCTCATACTCGTTTCTAAGGAAAATGTTGTGTGCATATTACTCTCAGATCACATTGTGTGATCGGGAAATGTTTACCTTTCTGCCATTTCAACATGAACACGAGATGAAGGAGGGTATTTCTGCTCTGATTGAGGGTAATGCTCTAGCTTAATGCCCGTGGTTCATAAACCTGCTACTCATGCACTCAAGAGTTTTAACTTGAGTGACACGTTCAAATACAGCCACAAGGAAGAACACACCCTCATATTTTACGTTGTCATTTCTAGGTCTTTGATTTTTTACAACTTCTAAGGAATGGCATGCCACCTGAACAGTTAACCAACCCTGTTCACCCTATCTGGGGGCATGCAGCCTGGTGGTTAGGGTTTGTACATTGCAGCTTCTGCTTATCGGGTTGGGGTTCGAATCTAGCTGGTGGCGGTACGTTGTGATCTTGGGCAAGTCACTTTACCCCTATGTGCCTCTCTCCACCCAGGAGTAAATGGGTACCGGTGAGGGCAGACAAGGTTATGTTTAGCCGTTTGCAACTTGTTTACAATGGCTGCACTGGGCTAGTATACTCCTCTGGGAGCTGAGATGGTTCCAGGAATGTTCAGATGATGTGAGCACAATGTGCAGAGATAGTGACATTATATCGGGACCTTTGAATTGCAGATACTTTGAGATACTATGCACCTTATAAATGCTTTGATATTATCATTGTTATTATCTCACCTGGCCATCGCGTTCCACAAATGACAACAGTCGAATCTGCACATTGCCTGGCCCGGTGTGAGCGCACGGCGGGACAATTGTCACTGGTTCTCCGTCTTCTCCATCTAACTCAAATGTGTGTGGCTGGATCTGGATCAGCTTGTTGATGGCAACAGAACCAGCCATGAGATTGCACATCTCCTAAGAATTATTAACCACAAAAAAGATTAAGCATAACCATTCAAAACCAACAGAGATTTACACTAAAGATTTATGCACAAGATTCCAGCAGTGATGCACACTCTCAATTGCACTCAACAACATAACATTTTTCTAAAAATCTTCATTATCTAATTGTACACTTTGAGCCAATGATTTGTGATCATTTTTCCCCCAAGAGTTCATCCCAAGCCAGAATGTTATTGGTGATCTCTGTTCCTCAGCAAGGCACTTTACTTCAACTACAAAACTCAAAAACATGGTGGGTATTTGGGTGGAAAGTGGAAGAAGTGTTTTTGTGTCAGCACAGAAGCAGCCAGCGCAGCCAGAAATCATACACTGCATGTATGCTTTGATGCCACTTTGATATCATGGTTGGGAATTCCATCATGAAGTAGATTTTTATCTTACAGCGATCACGTCCCCTTCGGTGATGGACCAGAATGCTTTGCAAAACTTGATGTCCGACTTGTTCGTGACGTTAACGATCTGCTTGGCCCTGGCCTCGGGATTGGTCAAATATCGACTCCTGGAAAGCAGACAGAAAATTGCTTGTTAGTCACAGACACAGAGTGTGCAAAAAACAGGTCACTGAAGATATCCAAAAATTGTGAAGACGACTTTCACACGAACCGCTACCGTACTAACTGTGTCAGACCTCTGTCATTTTTGTCAGGTGTCTGCACTAGATTTGAAACAGGACACTCTTTTGCAAATATTCTCGATCAGAAAATCTGAAATGCCCAAGTGCACTGTGCGTTGCCCTGCTGCATCGCAAGACAACACCAAACCCTCAGTTTCTCACATAAAAACCAAACCCACCAAAACAAACTCAGGCAAACATTCCTGAGTACGGGCATTTTTTTCTGGGATAAAATTTACAACCCCCACGTATTACACAAATCTTCCGCAGTGGTGAATCAATCTTTAGATTTCATCCAAAGCAGTGCATAAAATGCTAACGTGGCCTCAGACAGCACCAAGGGGTATAGGCTACATCAAACTTCACAAATTATTCTGAGAGTGGACTGGCAATTTTCACGACAAAGGACAGGCAAATATTGTAACGCTAGATGAAAATGACCTTTGTTTGTCTGTTTAATGATTCACTGACAAAGTGCCTTTGAATGCATTTCCCAAACACCAATACGACAGACGAGAAACAAGATCTTTTTCTGGACTAGCCTCCCTTGCACGTACCCATGGAATATTGAGGAGGCCGCCCTGGAGAATGTGCCTTCGTGTTTGTGGTATCCCTCACTGTAGGATGCCAATGCAACGGCCACGGTCTGCAGGGACTGCCAAATGCTATCGCAGAACTGCAGAAACAGACATTAAAACGAAAAACTTTCCCACTGGAATGATATGGACACTAACAGAGTTGAATGTCAATTCAGGATGTATGGGGCCAATGAGGAAGTTTTCTTTATGACATAAGGAAGCAGTTATCAGACAAGCATGGAATATGCACAGACTACATCCAGTATCGGTTAAGTACCGGTACATGTACATATGCTACTGTATTACTCCATTCAGGAAGCATATCATTGTTCCAAAGTTCTCGTTGTTAATCCCATCTCCTGTAAGATGTACCTCCATCTTTTTTCAATTTACCTTGTGTGTACATCTTTTTTTCAACCTACTGTACTTGGTGTGATAAAATTTGTCATTCTTGTATTTGTACTAGTACATGCATGTATGAAATTTAAATACATGTACCCAATGTACAGTAAGTGCCATATTGAAGAATATTACTGCTGCCCCCCACACACACACCCTTATATACATATATGTATACTTGTGGGGTATTTCCTTTGTTCTTGCGTACATAACTCCCACACAACACAATTTCAAATCACTGCCATTTCCACCAAATTCGGTTTCCTGGATTGAAATTTCGACCGTATGTCCCTTATATAAAACAGTTCAATTTGCGACACATGAATGGCACTTGAAAATTCCTCCTTTTATAGTAAATTTGAAATATCTATTTCGTGAAATTTTCCAAACAGTGGCTGTTTCTTATAACAACAGTCTATCACTTTGTGCAGAGGGGTCCTAAATGGCCCCCAAACCACAGTGACCACAGGCACTGACCACAACAGATAAAGGCCACCTATTAGGACCATCAAGATTTCGCAACACCAACCACTGCCCCATCATATCCAGGCTCTTTCACCTGGTCAAGAAATCCCCTCCACAAAAGTTACAGCAGTAACTAAAGAGGCACCTAATATTACAAGACTATGTATCTACAATTAGATAAATCAAAACTAACCCCTATCGGTCAGAGATATAAATAGCAATGGGGTTAAGTGCTGATTACATCTACATGTAAGCAGTGTTATGTAGTACAGTCGGAAAAAGTACCTGTACCTTGACTGTGTTTTCCTTTGTAGGTTAAAGGAACAAATTACGTTTAGGTACATGTATGAGTATGCCTGTGGAAAGTGCACAGGATAGTGGCACAGATTTGGCTGCCGAGGCTAGCCCTTCATTGAGGGGACAATATCTTGATTTGGGAAATTCAGGACCGTGCCGTAGGGACAAAAACGTGTCCTCATACTGTAACTACTACCACAACTATAACTACTCCTTGAACAGCAATGCCATTGGTGTGTGTACAACATGTAGGTGTACCGGTTGGTGTGCAGGGTACCAGTACTTGTACTGGGCAAGTACAATCACTGTACCGTCCTGTTTTTATCTGCGAATGGGTCTTTTCTTGAACAATCCAAAGTCCTACTCACAAGCAAAAGATCAAAGTGAGCTTGAGGTACATGTACAGTGTATTGCAGATATTTCTTCAGGTTTCTTCAAGGTTTTCTGTCCATTCATGGACACATGTACATGAGGCTGGTACGTGTACATGTACATGCACATGGTATGCTTGTGTATAGGTACACATGTACATGTACACGTGTACATGTACATACATGTAGGTGCAGTATATGGTACACGTAACTATTTTCTCTTCCCACATGTACATGTAAATCTTCTCAAATGCTCCTGGCACAAGTGGCCAATTTTGAGAATTCAAGCGGTGAAAAAAATAACCCCAAGAAATGTGTGTCTTTGGCTAAACCTTGTTTTTCTGTTTAGCCATACTACCAATCTACATGTAAGCCTACTGACATACCAGTAGACAAGTACTGTACAATGCAGATGATACATGTACATTATACATGTACATGTTAAACATACAATGTACAAAACTAGTACATGTACTGGTGCATGTCCTTTTAGGTACAGTACACACATGTACATGTATGTACATGTACACATGAAGGAAGTCCTTCCTCCATGATGTACACAACTCCAAAATATTACTCACACTAGATGTACCTCAGGATTTTAAAGGATTGAGACAGCAGTCAACCCTCCAAAAAACACCTTCAAGGTACCGGCGTGATGGAAGATTTCAGGGCAAGATTCCAATTGCCTCTGCTGCTCCTTTTTACACTCTTTCCCTGGACTGTGGAAGATTTGGGCTTTATCCAGTCATTTACCCCGGACTTGGAAGCAGTTACAGGACTTTGTAAGGTTGAGACAGCATCCTAGCAAAATGGCCTAGGTTATTGTACCGGTACATGTGCACATGTACAGTAGTTAGGGTGAAGGACGCATGCTCAAGAATGCATTGAAGGGCATACATGTACATGTGTAGCTCCGCTGGAAGAGAGTGGTACATGTTTGTAGGTATTATAATGTACAGTGTACATGTTGTCAGTGGATTCCACTTCCTCATACTGGAGTTTCCATTAATTCATGCATAAAGTACATGTACATGTACATGTACGTACTTGTAACCAGATACCTAGGATTACTGAAATTCTTCTTGGGCGGATATCTTGCCAGTCTGTGTTTTTATAAGGTGTACCGGTGCAGTGCAGATCCTGCCCAAAAAGGCAGAGGATACACACACCCACAAGTAACAGCTTGTGCCAGGATATGACAGAAAGTGAGAGAGAACGCTCCGGTGAATTTTACAAGGGAGAAGTTATCAAACGGAACAGTGAACTTTCCAATATTCATGTGCCTCATATGCAAAAAATCATAGATGGCGAACAAAAACACACAAGTGGTACACAAGTTTCACAACAATGTTACTGCAAACGTACATACATGTACATTGTACGTGTACATGCTACCAGGGAATTTCTGCATGTGGACCATTTCATGTTTCAGGTTACCAATTTCAGAGATTTTTTTTTCAACAGAATTCAGGAGTTGGAGTGATTGTGGCCATGAATGCCAAATCCGTTCCTGTTTCCCTGCATACGTATGGTATGCCTGGTTCATCTTGGGTAGCCATGCACAAACTGAAACATTGCCTGAAGGTTAGATTACAATACAATGTACTCTGGGATCACATGTGCATGTCCATTGTCTGTTCAAGTACATTTTGCATATGTATGAAGCCGCTTTGTTGGAATTCTGCCAGCATTATCACTGTACGTGTAGTTCCAAATCTAAAACATACATGTTCAGTATGTACATGTACATGTATATTTACTGTCGTACCAGTACAAATGTATCTGGTGTTTATGTGTGTTTAAAAATGTAAAAAATACGGGTAAAAGGGATTGCAAATCCCATGGAAACTTTATTTTTGTCGTTGTATCGGGTGCATTTACCTGTCAACAATGTTGCAGTACTTGAGTCATTGAAATACAACAGTACAAGAAAATTGATCCTCGACAAACACAAGGCCTACACACCATTCGCAGTCTTAGCCAATTACGAATGCAAAACGCCAGTGTGTTCCTAGTCTTGGTTCCAAGACCTTCCTGTTTTTTTTCTGCGACACAAACCATCACCAGATGTCGCAGCCGGAAGGGGCACTGTCACTGCATATTGCCTTGTAAAGTATATGTACACCACACCTTGCATGCAATAACGAATCACAGCACCACGAAAGGCGTCTTGGGTCCAAGACTAGTAAAACTCAATTCAGTTGTAGCTAGTCTGGTTCCCGGACCTGACACAGAATCTAGAATATAGAATAACACGGGCATAGGAATATTGAGTCTAGAAAGCAGACTTCACCCATCCACATTTACACGTTCGCGTTGCCCGTGCATAATGCATCACAAGTCACAGTCGTACCGGTACAAGTATATGTACATGGCCACATGTAAGTACAGATCACCAATCACAACTCCATTGTGATGCATATTGTTTCAGAATGTTATTTATTTAGATGGTTTTTGGTTGGCATGACAATCACACAGAGTTTTAGCTGGAAACCTTTATTTTTGAGCAAGTTTTTTCAGCACTTGAGCAAATTTTGTACTTAGGCAGCTCTGTGAAATTGGGCCAAGCATCAATGGCATTTGCTTGTTCTTGATGCTTTAACATTTTACCTCTGAGTAGGCCCAAATGCTTTTGCTGTTGTTGGTGTATCAGAACTGATATTCTTTCTCTTGCCGTATAAATGTTGTACTTCTATGTTTTGCCAAGGAGCCTAAGATACATGTACACAGTTTTGGGACTAAATATAATCTGCAACTTGACCTAAACAGACCGATTTGGGAATGCTATGGCAGATTTCAATAAAAACAATCATCTGCAAATTTAAAACATTTTTACAAACAAATTTTACTATTTACCAAGATTTAGAGTACTCGTAGTGACTTGTACTCGTAGTTAGATGTACTCGTACTCGGAGGTACAAGTATTCGTACTTGAAAATCAGTTCTTGTACTCAGCTGGTAAGTACTCAGACTTTCAGGTACTCAGAAATTTACATGTAAGAACTCGGCTGTACTCGGAAAAAAGTACTCGACTACAACACTGCCTATCAACATGATCAAACTAGATTTACCGGTACATGTAACTTCTGCTGAGCGACATTGCGGGAGCACATTAAATTTAAATATCTCTTCTCCTTTTCAACCAACCATCAAAATTCCTCAAGATATACGGGCATCCCCAACACCATTTAAAAAAGGCACCAAGACAAATTTCACCTGAAAACCCAAGCAGCGTCCATAGAAGCACTCTCTGTCCAGAGCCTGGACCTCCAACATGATGTCCTGTGGCATCTGCTCCAGCTGATCCTTCTCTGGAAATAGCTGACACTTGTCCACTTCGGAATAGGCCAGGAGCTTCTCTCCGTAGCTGAGAAGCACTCGCAGCTGGCTCAGCACTTTGCTGTAGGCCTCCAGCTCCTACGGTCAGGAGAAAGAACGATACGCAACAGTAAGCTGAAGCATCATTATCTACATTTTGGTGAACATGATTTGAGTCAGGGTTCCAAGCTTTCAGCTCTCAAAGGCCGCCATTGTCAGGTGGTAAACAGTTACTTGACCCCCCCCCCTGCAATTGGAGAGAATCAAAGATGCACTGTCTGTGCTTTTTGGGTGTGGTGAAATATTTTCAAACTGAATTGATGAATTTTCTACAGTCATATTTGTAATGAGACACCAATTACGAACTTTGGACGTACATGTACAAAACTACATGTAGTCCCCTAGCAATTGGCGAGAAAAAACGTTGTATTAAAGCCCTGCTTGTATAAAAAATTGGCTTAAAAATATGTAGGGAGACTTCCTTATCTGGAAATCACTTGAAACCCTTTGTGCAAGCCCTATGAGACTGGTTAGAGAAAGTGTAAAAAGTGTTTTCTAAGTAAATGCTTCAATATGTCAAGTTTACACTCAGTGATTCTACTCAGAACCACCACTCCCATTGAAGAGATTAATTTCACATGATGTATTGTACCCACAAACCTTCTCTCTTAGTCAATATTTTCCCCCCAAAATTTGTCTTTTTAGGACATCTTGCCACTTCCTGACGGCTGATGTGTCACTGTAAGGAAAAAGTAGTGACCGTCCTTGTAGGAATTTCGCCTATATTTTCTCTCGCAGCCTCAACACTACTGCACATGTGCCAATCAATGCACTGGTCAACTGGTTGGGATAGCATTAAGGGGGAAGAGCATTTCAGGAAAATTTGGACAGCACTGCTCCAGTAAAAATCCAGCTGGCGGATCATATTTTTGGTCCACATGAAACTGTGTTAATATTGATTGATTCCCCAAGACTCATCTCAGAAGTGGTGGACTTTTTTCTATTGATACTACCGCACATACAGGATTGATCAGTCTAGATCCTGATCGTAGACGTTTTGAATTCCACTTTTACATGGCCTTTTCAGTCAGAATGATTGCAATGGTTTAGGCCATAAGCCATCTAAAAAACAAAGCGTCATGCATACATGTCCTAAAAAGTCAAATCTAGCAATAAAAATATTGAAGCATTTACTAAGAAAATACTTCAAATTTTCAGACAAATCTCATAGGGTTGGTGCACCGGATACATACATGTATGTATGTGTATGGAACTCCTTCCCCTTTTGTAATCTACTAGCAGTTTTGAAACTGTCTGCCACAACTGTGAATTCAAGGGGATTGACTGATGACAGCAGGATAGACAGATGTTGAACTGTATCAAGAGACTGTGGCCAACACCTCCATCAAGCTGTGTGAGAGTTTGTGTCACAGCTGTCAAAGGTGACCGGTGGCATTCATACCCTGACATGCCTGATGATCTCTACTTTCCCCACATGACCTGTGACAGTCACATTTTGGTAAGACTGTGCGCAGACATCACTAACTTAATTTTCCTTGCAGCGGTTTATAAGCCATCAGAAAGTAATAACATGTCCTGTAAACTTATATTTGGCAGTGAATTATTCAAGTATTTACTTAGCTTTTCGTCAAGGCCTTCATGGCTGTGAGTGTGTAACTTGTAAGTGACTGGAAAGGAGACCAGGTGAGTGGCGCAGCCACAAGGCCTTTCCCAACTTGATTTGGAAGTTTTGTGGTGAATTATTCATAAGCTTTCTGATATGCATTATTCATACATTTCATGTGAATAGTTGAAGCACTGACAATTTAACCAATCACAATGCAGATTTCTCCTTGTTTCATCCATTTGTTAAAAAAGAGCCAAGAGAGGTGGGTTTATGTAAACTAAATGAAAATGGTGAGATGACAACTGTGATGCTTGTTGTGGGCACGGTGGGGGAATACTGGTGCTGACATTAGATTAGCACTAGCAGTACATCATGAAGGCAAAAGCTCAGCCACAGTCTCACTCTCGGGCGTTGGTCGTCGAAGCCAGTTAAAGCAAAACGGCAGTGCTTGAAATACGGAGCTCTTACCATATCCCATGGTTACGCCCACGCCCAGGTACAGATGCTCCAATAGCCTGACGCTGCAACAGTTGAAACTCGGCAAGGTGAGGTTTTCCAGCAGCATATTCTAAAGAACTGTCCAAATACTGCTCAGACAACTGACCTGCACTCACGGTGGCCGACACACTTGACACACTAGCCATTTTTCGTATACTTTCAATTTGCATAATAGGTTAATGTATGCTGACCCCGTCGCTTAGGATTGGTTGGGATTTTCGCTATCCCAACGGGGTAGCAAAAATGGAAAATATGAAGAAAAACATGAGAAATTCCTGACAAGTTAGAAAACGCCTTGTGGCTAAGCCTCTGGTGCATGTGGTCTCCTCTCCAGTCACTTTGCAGTTACACACACAGCCATGAAGGCCTTGACGAAAGACTAGTATTTACTTAGAAACCACTTTGGAATTTTCAGTCCAGTTTCATAGGTTTTGTGCACAGGGTGTCAAGTGACGTCCGTGTAGGCCTACAGCAACAGTAGGCAGGAAGGAGTTCCTTATATGGACACCAATAATTATTCCCCTCATTAGCCTTCAGGAAACAAAAAACATGTCCAAAAAAGTTCAATTTAGGAGGGAAAAAGCCAAGTCGTTTACTTAGAAAACAAGTTAAGCCCAGGCCTATATGTACGTGTAGAATTCTTCATACCAGTCTCATGCTCAGGGCTGGTTCATGAGGTGTCAAGTGGCATATGTATATGGAACTCTTTCCCCGGTAGGCTAACTCTTTCTGTCAATGACAGTGTCATGTCTTACATGCTATAGGCCTAGGCCCTAATTAAAAGTGTAAAAACTGGCCTAGGGGACCTAGGCGCTAGGCTTACATATATTATTAAAATTAACAACTTTAGAGAAAAAAAAGAATCAATTGAATACCCTCAAGTAGTGACCAGCCCTGAACAGCAGGCTGTCCCTGTTGACGGCGATATACCGCGAGATCTGGATCAGCTTTTCCACACAGCAGTCCACTACGCCGATTAGGCTCCGATAACCGTTGCCGGGCGTCAGCTCGTCGTAGTCGAACCGCGGCGCGATGGCGGCAAGGGTCTCCACCGCCGGCCGCACGGCATCGCTCTCCTGCTCGATAAGACAGAAGACAGTGAAGAACTTCTCCCCGCTGCTGCTCTTGGATTTCTGGTAGTGTTCTATGTTGTTGATGACGAGCTGCCGCAGCGTCTTGATGGACATCAAGACCGGACACGGAAGATTCTCGGTGTCCTTCTGGTCAGCAGTGCCACTACTAGTTTCTGAACCACTGCGCGCCTCCATGTTGGCACTGCACTGGCCGCCGCCTAGCCTACCGGCGCGCCGCGGCTTGGCATGCAATGCATTTTATACATGAGGAATGATATCCTGATCAGGTAGCTTTCATTACGTGCTCATTTGTTGAGAGAACCCGTCTATGCCAAGCCCAGCTGGTTTATTTTTAACTTCTGGCTGAAGTTGTTTTACTCATTCAATTGGAACGAAGAATGAGTCATCCTACTTTTAATCCGTGAAATGTATTATCAAAAGTAGGGTACCTTGCACAACTCAGTAGATGTGATTCGCCCGCTATCATGCCAGCGCCTAGGGCCTACATTGCTTAATTTTTATCACTCTCGTAAAATGTGTGAGTGTGAATGTGTACGTTGTGAGGAACCCTATAGTGATCACAAATTAACCACCCCAATGTTACCTCAAGAAGGAAAGAAAAGGAAATCAGGAATCTAGATTTTTTTCAAACCAGTTGAGTTGCTTTGGCAGTTTCTAGTGCCCCGATCTGGACTGTAGTTCATGCCGTGTCATACACCACTTCAGTTTTGATTTATTTCTCCACAAATGGGGATAAATTCGCACGAAGCAAACGTACCTACTAAAGTGCTAAGAAAATTGCAATCTTTAGTAATTATAAATCTCAAATGTCTGAGCCCACATTGGAGAAGACCATTTCGGCCCGCCCACCAAGCTATGGCGTATGGTGTACTATTTACGACAAACATTTCTCTCTCTCTTTCTTGTCTCCCTCCAAGCGACGCAACCAGACGGCACGGCGGCTCCTTTGCGTCGATCGTGCCATCGGGTCGAACCGTCGCCTTCTTGCCATTTTGTTTGTACACACGCACGTCGCGTCGTGCCGTCGCCCGTCGCGTCGTGCGTCGAGCGTGTCGTGCATCGCGTCGCCTGAAGCACGACGCGCACGTACGACACGACGCACGACGCCACGCGTCGTGCGCTGTCACCCTTTCGTGGTGTTTATAGAGGGCGCCTTTACTGTTTCCTTTCATTTCTGTCCACCTTTCTTGCAAAGTACATGCAATTCGCTCTTTGTTGTTGACTTTTCATTGTTTTTATCTCATCGATTCATTAATTGGGATTAATTTCAGTCATATTTTATTGAAAAAATGATAAAAGAGCAACAGAAAATCCGAATAAATAGGAACTGCTCTCTCAAAATAAGTGGATGAATGCATCATCACTCCTTAATTTCCCAGCCAATGGTTTCTTCTGTTTTCTCTCATTTCCGTCCAACGGGCTTGCAAAATACATGCCCTGATCCGCAGTCGTTAATTTTTTTGGGGGGGGTTGTTTCATCCGTTCATCAAATTGAATTGATTTTTGTCCTTTTTATTGAACAAAATGAAAACGAGCGAAAAGAAAATCTGCGTATGTAGGTGCTCTCACATAATAAGTGTTAGCGGAGAATTCGTCACTTTTTATTTACCCGGCTGATCCTTGTACGAATGTCCTAATGCAATGCCTATAGGGCGCCACCAGGATTGTCCATGGAAATGTCAATGGTTTGTCCATAGCTTTCACGCGATTCGTGATTGTCGTCTGTTCGGCTGGTCTCGATCGAAGCAGATTGCCAGGAGAGGGCCATTGTGATGTTCAGTGAGAGTGCGGCAGAACATCGACAAGGGTCTGAAACTACACCACCGGAGTCCGTCGATCCCAAGCCTTAACTTAATTTGGACCCTTTCAATCCCAGACTATTTACTGGCGATATCCCTCGTATAACTGAAGATTTTGGCTCATTTTGTCAAACAGCGCCCTCCACAATAGAATGTGAAGAACGCAGCATAAGCCCGGCATATGGGCGTTGCGGTCTGAGAGCCAGTAAAATTCCACTTATGAGAAATACTCATTTTGTTATGCTTGTTTTCTTTCAGGTTTTTATGTTTATTGTCGCATGCAGCTACTGCAGTTGATTTAGTGTTTTTTGTTCTCTACTTGCTGTCAATAGAAATACACAGATTCGAAAATGCACTCGACTCCACGGACATGGTCATCAGCTGCCTGTACAACGCACTTTTCCCTTTGTGTTACTGTATGTCACGTGCAAAAAACTCTATAATAATACGTGTACACGGATTCGAAAATATACGCGCGCGTGCTAGGGTCATGGTATGCTTCCTGATGTATTTGCCTTTGCTCATATGTTACGTCACGTAACTCAGTCTAGCGAATTGACACAAACAATGTTACGAGCAATGTGAAAAGCGATTGAAGATAAGGCAAATGACTATGAATAATGAAAATTCTGAGAAAGCAATATTAATTTTGACGCCCGTGGCACCAAAGAATAAATACTTATTTTTTAAATCAATTCTGTTATAATTTTTTAAGAGTTTGTTTTGTGTTTTACCGTTTACATTTTGATCAGAACATGTTGTTCGCCCGTGATTATTCATTTTTGGTGAAATTATTTTTTGTGACATGTAACTTTTATTTTTTTAATTATTTTTTTTGATAATTTGTTTCTCAAATGATTTTGGTGCTTGTCTTGTGTTTTATTATTTAGATTTGTTGAATAAGAAGATTCTGTGTGCTCGTAACTGTTGATTTTTGTTAAAATTAATTTTGGTCCTTTTGGCCGCCCATACGTTTTGCCCTCTGAAACTTTCTATATCCGTCCTTGGAAATGGTAGGCGTAAAGTTGCACTGTTTGAACTCCCGAATTAGTCATTTCAAAACAGTACACCATGACCCTGAGCCTCGAAATAATTAATCTTTCTTATTTTGTATTATTTGCCTCAACTTGCTACCTACCTTGCCATCTTTGAAGTCATATTCCAGCCGGCAAAATGTCAACTTGAAGTACATGTATTATTCCAGGTGCATTATGCAAAATTAATATTAACTACATGTATAAGTCTATTATTAGTTTCACTTGTTTTATTTGTACGCACTGAAAGAAAATAATAGCGGGAAACAAAAATTCTATCGGGAAATTGAATTCCGCCCTCCTGCGGTTACAGGATAGGTTCCCGACCGCTTAATAAACTTCGCACAGGTCCTTTATCTTGTTAATAAAAAAAATGGCACCGAGTTGTAACATTGGAACGGAGCTTTTCGACGAAATTTCACAAGTCCAACGACTGGTACAAGTTTAAGCATATCACTGATGAATCATGCGGTGTGTGTGTCAGAAAAGGGAGACCGAAACCCTGGTGACTAATAGTCGTATCACCGCCTCAACGCCATTCAGTAATATTTTTGTGCTGAACTCTTAAATAGTCTGGTCTCAGATCTGATGAAAAATTCAAAATGGCTACAGAACTAGACTAAGAAATTTGCGATGTGTGGAGCAAAATTTTAGTTTAGCCGTAGTTCTTACCCTGCATCTTAGTCATCATTAAATCTGTTTGTTTGGAGAAACATCTCGGACGGCCGAAGAAGAAATTTTACTTGTTTCAAGAAAAGGTGAGTGGTACATGTTTCTTTCCCGTGACTGTGGCATTGTGTTTTGACGTTATTTTTGGCCGCGTTATGCAGCGCGCATCACCGATACCGCCGTACCGCCCGGTGGTCTTCGACGACCGCTGAGCAACTGACGACATACGGTACAGGGGACGCCCTGCGCCTTTGCCTGGCACAGATCGTGGGCTGAGTGAGGTTCTAAATAGGGCCCTACTGACGGAAATAAATATGAAACAGCAGGAGAAAAAAACTCTTTTCTATTTATTTTAAGGAGATCATAGGGCCTAGGCTGTCTATAGCCTATATAAGTATATACATGATGTAGGCCTAGGCCTAGTAGTAGTACAATACATACAGTAGACACTTTTGAAATTGAAGCTTTTTCGCTGCAAAATTTGACATGTTTGCATGGTTTGACACATTTGAATTTGATGGCTGACAATAGACTGTCATATTCATAATACTTTAATAGTCATGACTGAAACACAGTGCCGCTGCGTACGTTTACACATGATATAGTAGCTCTGTTAGTGGTGACCATGGTTGTAATGGTGACAGCTGATAATTTGGTACATCACACTTGATAGAAAATACTTGTACTGGGCCTACATGTACTGTAAATAACCTTTTCCTGGGAGGCTGTATACACATACCTGTAGGTCTGACTGGCAGGAGCAACTTAAAAACAGATGTCAAACCATTGAGAATTAGTTTTTTAGCTTTAGCCTACCCTCCTTTCAATATCTGTGTAGGTTTATCAACATTTTAAAGTCTGTCTTGTGTATTTGATTCATAGAATGTATGCAGTGCACCAACGGTAAATTGGTAATCGATCTAAATATTTCGCTCAACAAGAGTGTTTCATATCTTCCGTATCTGTGTGCCTTGGTTTCAACATGGTTTCAACCATTATTGGGGGTCAGGTTGGCACAGTCCTAAGTACTTTCCTTGTTTTCCATCTCTGCAAATCCCATGTTCCTTTTCCATGAAATCCCATAGTTTGGCATGTGGATTGGGTTTTTCAGTCCCTTTCCTTACTCTGTGGCCTTTCCCCGAAATATTTGTCAAGGGATTTCCTCCTATCCATATAATATAACAAAGTTTTAGGGGCTACATTATAAATTTTATCATTTTGTAATTTGTACATGTACGGTACTACTACATTTACAGTTCTGTTGCTCGTTGGATGAACATGAAATTAAGTAGATAAAAGTAAATTAATGAAAATAAACCTGGACAGGGCTTTTGCACATTTATGCCACACCGATCTTTTTTTATAAATTATAGTTACATTTCATGCATCATTCCCAGCCATATTTCACCTACACCGGTAGGTTTGCTCAGCAGAGACTGGCTGCCTGGCAAATTTATGTTGAAAGCAGAAACATCAACTTAGAACCGGTCCTTGTTCAGTGCATACATGTGCCAGTTACGTGTACATGTACTGCACGTAATGTAAGCATTCCATGACATTCTAGCCGGTAACTAGGAACCTGTTTTGACTTTGTAAATCACTTTGTGCGCTTGGCCAAGTTTGACTTGTAGCAGTTCAATGAGACTGGTCCCTGCTGTAGTAACAGCTGCGTCAAGTTGTTCTGCAAGTGCAGCCTCTCTTTCGTTCCAGCATGGCATGTCTGTAGAGAGGTCAATGTGTAGGCATTTATCTGTTAATCAGTCACTGCTTTTGCTGCTGAATGTGCACAATGTGGATTGAGGAAGCGTGTGAAGGAAAAT